GTAGTGATACCGCCTTGGAAACCCAAGGAGGGGTCACTATGAGTTGGGTCTGATTCAACGGCAAATAACAACAACAAACAGTCAAAAGCTATTAAAGTTATTTCATAACTCATTATACTAGAATTATTGCAGAGCAATACATAGTAGCAAGAACTGTGGTATAAATTCCAGGTACAGAATGGTGGAGTGACCACTTTTCTTCTAGGTCTGGTTCTGCCTTCTTAGTAAAGCCATCTCCAGCAACCCAGGGCACACTAGGTTCTTTCTCTGAATCTTTTTTTGCACACATGATCAACATTCCACACCCTTACTGATTTAAAAAAGGAGCTCTGGTGGCATAATGCTTAAGCCATTGACTGCTAACCAGAAGTTAATGAACGGTTCAAACCCACCAGCCGCTCCTTGGAAGGAAGACATGGCAATCTACTTCTGTAAAGATTTACCATGTCAAACTCTCAATGACTTGAAGCATATTATTACTGAGATGAAAATGTAGAAGTAAGTGAAAAAAAAAATTTAGCAGTGAAAATACTGTCACAAAGCTCATGTACTTCACTTTGTAGGAGAGCTATGAAGCTAATCTCTCACAGAGATTGGTGTTTAAAATTGTGTATGAAAGTGTTTGATTTAACGTATGTGGCTCTCTGGTTTTCCAGCTGACAGCATTATAATATGGTGGTAGAACTGTATAGAAACTGACGTTCATGATATTGCAGTGTCGATATTATTTTTAATATATGCTGTTAAAGAGGACAGAGAAATGTATAATAGATTTTTCCCCCAAAAAAAAGAAAAATTGTTAAATAAAAACAAATTGAGACTTAAGAATAAGTGCGAAAGCTGATGCAGAAGAAACAAAGTGTAATTTTATATTTTGGACTGCTTTATATTCTTATTAGGAGCTCACTGCTAACCAGAAGGCTGGTGGTTTAAACCCACCAGCCCGCTCCTCAGAAGGAAGGCAATCTACTTCCATAGTGATACTGCCATGGAAACCCAAGGAGGGGTCACTATGAGTCGGGTCCGACTCAACGGCACATAACAACAACAACATATACTTACTATTTGGGGTGGATGTTTTGTTTCATTAAGCAGACAATGAATAGTTTGAGGGCAGAACCATATTAAAAAAATATTTTTTCACCAAGTGCCTGATACATAATAGCTGCTTAATGTATGTTATTGAGTGAAGAGTGAGGATTTTGTAAAGGATGAGATAAAGTTAATCTGGGGAGGTCTAGAAGTACCTGGACCCTGAGTTGAAGATGGTGTTAGTTGTGGATTAATGAAAGGGGGAGGGTGTCTCAGAATTGTCAACATACCTTAATCTTATCAGATTCTAGAGTTCCTTCTGATTACTTTGGCCTACTGCCACCCTAGCATTATTCTCCAAAATTTAATTATTAACTAACTTTATCTATCTTAGTTACCAAAATAGTTTGCCTTTAATACTAATAGTCTTTTGAATTAGACTTTTCAAAAGAAAAAACTTTAGTTTTCTTTTACTCCTTACCCTAATTCAAAGAATGTACTAATGTGATCCTTTACCTTGGTGAGAGATATATAATTAATAAACTATAAAATTCTTAATCGTTCTTTTGAGACAGCCATGGCTTTAAAGCTTACAAATTGGGATCACTCACAGACACCTTTAATTTAGTGTTTCTGCACTCAGAGTATGATTTCTTGTTGTCTTGCTCAACACTGAGAGCAGCACAAGGACGAAGGTTGGTCTACAGCCCTCAGCCAGCAGAAATGAGGACAGCTGCTCTTCCGTGCAGATGTTCGTGACATAACCTTGGGAGAAAAGTCAAATGCAGGTTTTTCTTTTAAAAAATTGCTTAGTAAGTGCCTGGAAAAATGCCAGTAAAATTAATGTATTTTAATAGTTAAAAATTAAAAAAAAATTAATTGAAACTAGGATTTTTGTTAGTTTTAATCATTATCCATTTTACTGAGCCTTCCCCAGTGCCATCCTTTATTTCTGAGCTGTGGACAGCACAGGAGTCTTTACCCAGTGGTGTGTGGTTCACTTAACTCCATGGGAAGAGGAGGAGGAAGAAAATGTGTTGATTGACTAAAACCCCCTTTTGCTGTAAGGTTTTATTCTGCCAAGTGCATAATAAAAATAATGAAAGCTGCTTTCCATCTCTCTCTTCTTCATACAGTTCCATCGAGCCTCTGTACCTCACCTATGGAATCATCTTTGCCTGTGGCTGCTCCTTTGCATACCAGCCTTCCTTGGTCATTTTGGGACACTATTTCAAGAAGCGCCTTGGACTGGTGAATGGCATTGTCACCGCTGGCAGCAGCGTCTTCACAATCTTGCTGCCTTTCCTTCTAAAGGTTCTGACTGACACCATGAGCCTCTTTGACACACTGAGGGTCCTCTGCATCTTCATGTTTGTTCTCTTTCTGGCTGGCTTTACTTACCGCCCTCTTGCTTCCAGTGCCAAAGATAAAGAGAGTGGAACCAAAGGAGGGAACAGATTCTCCCACTCTTCCGGGAGAAAATGCGGTCCTCCAAAAAAATTTTTCAATTTTGCCATCTTCAAGGTGACAGCTTATGCAGTGTGGGCGGTTGGAATACCACTTGCACTTTTTGGATACTTTGTGCCTTATGTTCACCTGGTGAGTACGCTTCTTTGGTATCTCTGGTAATGGATATTATTATTCCATACAGAAAAACTTCTTAGAAAAGCAAAATAGATGAGGTTGAAGTTGGCCTCAAAATTATCCTGGTTATAATTCAGAGATTATTGAAATTTAAGGCCTCTCAAATCAAGGTCAACATATACATCAGACCCTCAAACCCAGATCTGTTTCATTGTGTGATTCAGTATTTTCAGCATTTCCAAACAAGAGCAGCTATAACATAAAGGGAGGCTAAAGTCAGGCAATCTGCTTCCATAGTGATACTGCCTCAGAAACCCAGGGAGAGGTCGCTATGGGTTGGGTCCACTCAACGGCACAATAACAACAATAAAAGTCTTGGAACAAATGATGTCAACACAAAAAACTTGGTCACTTTTCCTTTGAGTGACTTACTAATCTAATGAGGGACAAAGATAGTGACATGATTTTGCCAACATTAGTTGGCAAGACAAGGGAGCAGAAATTAGGTAGTTAGCAAAGCCAGTGGCTTTGACACAAAGATGGTATACATTCACTTGTGAAACATTGTAGGGAAACAGGAATTCTGTTCAGAGGAGTATCTGAGAAATATTAAGGGAACTCCAAACGAGGGACTAGAGCTAGGGTTTCGTAAAGAATTAGGAATTCGAATGATCAAGCAGTTTATGTTGTTTGTTTTTGTTCAGAGGTCAAATTTCAGCCTCTTTATCCTAAAACAGTAGTAAGCAGTGTCTGAAGTCTGTGCCCCTGACCAGACTCGCTCAGAAGTGCTGTCTGTATTCACTCCTTTTTCTTGCTGCTGTGACTGAAATGTATTTATAGTTCCACATTGTTGATAAATGATAAAGAAAAAATGATGGTAATATAACTTTTGTGTGTGAAAGAGGAAAAGGTGGGGAGAGAACACTTGGGTTTTTTCTAGCTTACAGTGTATACTTTTTGACATTTCTGCAATTTTTCTTTTGTTAAGAGTTTTGGGAAAAGTTGGTATCAGCAGTTTAAGAAGTAAGCCAATAAACTATATCATCAACATTTAGTGGGTCTCTATGCTTACTTGAAAAAGGAATTAGGCCAAGGAAACAAGAAGAGAAATGTCAGACACATCCTTAGTCTAAGAATAACTCTGATTTCTCAATTCTCCTTGTTTTCTTCTTGCCAGAGTAGTTGAGGAAGCAACTAGGATGACCAATGGAGTGACAAGGGGAAGGACTAGGTTTTAGTACTGTTAGCCCCTTGGCATTTTCTGGAGACTGAGGTACTAGGTAAAATGACCTAGTGTGGGACGCTTGTCGAACACACCATATGGGGCCACCTTTTGATCTAGTAGTCCACTTTCACATTTTCAGGGAGGCCTGTTTGAACTACCTGAAGCCATTTCTTGTTGGGATCTGTAGGTCCATGATGGAAGGATCAACTTTACTAACCTTCCTCTTCCGTCATTTCTGTAGTTAAGAGCACATTTGTTGTCCTCTTCCAAAAATGAGTAGAAATCTCTCTCCCTTTCCTGCCTTTTTAATGTTCTTTGGTATTACCAGGTGAACACACCCAGGGAAATCATTATCTTAGCTTTGCTGAACCAGACATTTACCAAAGGACAAGTGGTGGGTGACTATCCAGTTATTTCTGGTTACATATTCATAATTTGTAAATTAATTTTGCATATATTATTTCATTTGACCTTCACAACAAGCCTGTGAAGTAGGCAAAATAAATAATATTAGCCTGTATTTTATGGACTATAAAACAAATCTGTCGTGAACCAAGATGATCTTACTCCTCAAAACTTGCCCTGCCCCCAGCCATCATCATCTCAGGAAATGGTAATTCCATCCTTTCAGCTGATCAGGCTAAAAACCCTGGGGTTGACCTTAGCTCCTCTTTCTATCACTCTACACTCCCAATCTAGTCAGAAATCTTGGTGGTTCTCCCTTCAGATATACCCATGATCTGATCACTTCTCACCATCCACGTTAGTGACATTTTAGATCACCATCATCACTGTAATAGCCTCCTAACTAGATTCCCTTGCCCCCCACAGTCTTTTCTCAACATGGCATTCTTTCAAAACAAGTCAGTCTGTTGAAAACCCTTCCGTTGCTCCCCAGTTCTCTCAGAGTGAAAACTAATATCCTTACAGTGGCTCACAAAGCCCTCCTTGCTCTGGTCCCTCCTGCCTCTCTGATCTCCTACCACCTTGTCCCACCCTCTGCTCCAGCCAAACCAGCCTCTTTGCTGTCCCCCTAAGTGGGGCTTACCCTGACCACATGGTTGAAACTGGAATCCCTCCACCCACCCCGCTCCGCAGCATTCCCAATTCCCTCACAGTGCTCTTTCGTTTTTTCTTTTTTCATAGCACTAAATTCTTTCCAACATACTCCTTAATTTACTCATTTGTTATGATTCTTATTTATCATATGGGTGTATACCTCTATTAGAATATAAGCTCCATTAAGGCAGTGATGGATTCTAAGCATCTAGCCTAGTGCCTGGCACACAGTGGATATGCAAATATTTGTTGAGTGACTCAATTTACTGTTGATAAGTCACACCATACAAGCAATATTCATCATTTTCCCACCATTCCAATTTTTTAAATTCTTTATTTTGATGCCATAATCATTTTTCACTTGTAGGACATGATGGTATTCATATTCATTAAACACTTAAAAATTAAGCTCAAACTCAATTAACCTGAGAACAATTGAGTAATCCTTAATGCTGTCTATTGATGGTGGCGAGAGCTGATGGGTTTTGTTTTGATCCACAACTTTATTTGGATGTGTTGAAATTATAACTTGGTAAATGGAAAAAAAAATTCTGTTCTCTGTCACTATTATAAGTATATGGGAAGAGGGAATAGCAATTCTTTGTGGCCATCTCCATTAACAAAGAAAGCCAGACACCTGTGTCTGCCCTATACTGTTGTTGTTTGCCGTCGAGTCAGCCCTGACTCATAGCGACCCCTCCTTGGGTTTCCGAGGCAGTATCACTACGGAAGTAGGATTGCCCAACCTTCCTTCCGAGGAGCGGCTGGTGGTTTGAACCGCCAGCCTTCTGGTGAGCAGTCAAGTGCCTTAGGCACTATGCTACCAGAGCTCCGAAAAATCTAAAGGAGCCTCAGGTGATACGTGTAAAAATATGATGCAAGAGCCATAGCCTGGCCATCACATGTCCATGTGGTTTTGGTAGAGCACTGAACACAGGGTCACATCAGCCAGATGACTGATAAATGCTTTAAGGAGATGATACAACTTCTCATGGCATGAAATGCTATATCTTGAATATGAGGATACTGATTTAGTTTCAAAAGCTTTCATATCTCTCTATCACTGCTAACCTTAAAAGTCAGTTTTGGTATATTGTTCTTTGATTCTAGAACACATATTTGGGTCAAGTTTTAGGTTTTAAGCTTTAGACCCACATAGTTGTCTATCAAGGGGAAACTTGAAATCTGTAATGTACATGCTTACTAGCCTGTTTTCAAAAAACTCTGATAAGATTTAGGTGTGTTGGTTTTGTGGCACATAGTAATTGATTGTTTTCAAGAAAAACTTTGACCTGTAGGAAAGATCCCATTTGCTTAATCTTGATGCAGTGATTAATGATACAAAAATTCGTGTGCTGACATGGCAATTAAATAGATTCTAAGTCCAGTTGTAATGGCAAAAAAACAAGTTGTAGTTTTAAATTAGAAATGAAATTTGAGGCAAGCCAATAAACGGGGTTATTTTATAACTTCGAATAATGCCAAATGCTGCCGTGGGTCAATACTGCAATGTAGCTGGGAGCCCTCCCTGGCCAGGGTACCTGTGTTCACACTGTGGTCAGAGCAGGAACACCGTTCCAAGCTAGAGCTCAGAACACTGAGCCATGGGAACAGGAACAGCATGCATGCTTCCATCTTCTTGTGGCTTCCACTGAGGAAGAGTCAGGTAACACTTGTCAAGAATCTGTTCTGTCCCAAGCATTTTTGCAAAATCCCATGTAACCATTACAAAGGATGAGTGAGGTAAATGTAGTGCATAACTTCTTTATAGCTAAGGAAACAATCTGAGAAGCTGTGCTTGTTCAGGATCACTCATTGATCTATGTTCAGAGTCAGGATTTGAACACAAGTCTTGGACTCTAAGTCCCATGTTCTTTTATGCAAAAGTCTACTGTTGCTGCATCAGGTCACCCTCAGAAATCTGTGTACTTACTGTAAGCCATGCTAGGCCTAGACCTTTCTGTTTTCTCAAAACTAAAAACAGATACAGCGTTGAACTGTCTCAGCTGTTTTGCTATCATGTGAATAAGAGGGTATCATGTAATCTTGCTTCCAGCCCACATCCCTTCCTTGTGAATTTAAGAAATGTGAGAAAATGGAGGCAGTATAAAGTTGCTTTTTACAACTTCTGATAAACAGGGCATAGAAACATACATAACTGTATTGTCAATTCTGTTTTCTGCAATAAACACTAGGCATAGCAGACGAAAAAAATGGAGAAATGGATATATGTAGATCCAGATCTAGTCTATATTTTATTAACATAAATAGGATTGTGTTGTTAGGTGCCGTTGAGTCATTTCCGACTCATAGCGACCCCATGCACAGCAGAATGAAACTCCGCCCAATCCTGCGCCAGCTCCGTGATCCTTGCTATACTTGAGCCCATTGTCACAGCCACTGTGTCAGTCCATCTTGTTGAAGGCCTTCCCCTCTTTCGTTGACCCTCCGCCTTACCAAGCATGACATCCTTCTCCAGGGAATGGTCCCTCTGAAAACATGACCAAAGTAGGTGAGACTTATGTTGCAAAGTGATCGTAGCTGTTGCCTTACATTTAATTTCAGGAAATCATTAAAGAGATAAAACAATGCATAGTGACAGTACTATGGCAATTCATGCTTAAATGCACCTTAACATCACTTCAATTCACTGATTTAAAAACTAGAATATTTGTGGAACAATATAAAACTGAACATACTATTAAACATACTATTCAAAATTTGAAAGAAT